AAATGATTTAATGTACTCTGATGAAAAAAATAATGATCATAGTTTTTAGTTTGGAAAATGTATCTGGCGTTAGAGATACTCAGAAGTATGTAATGATGCTGGTGTGGGTGGGTGCTTGCCCAGGCCCAAGTGAGCAGAAGCAGAACTGAGACTCCTCTCCTGTCCTTTTGGACTCTCACCTCAGTGCTCCCTCAGCATCATTGCACCCATTCACCTCTCTGTGCTCTGTGTGGGGCAGTGGCAGGGTTGGGGACTCTGGTTCTCCCACGAGTCTGTGACTTGGGGGCGCTGCAGCTCCTGAAGTTGTGGGGTAAAGGAGGCAAATTGGGGTGGGGAGTCGGGCCCTGACCTTGCCCCCTGTCTCTCACATTCCAGGACTGCGCGGACTCAACACAAGGGCCCTCAGTGCCTCCAGGCTGGCCCTGTGCTCCTGGCCCTGACCGCTTCCCCAGGATTGAGCTGGGGGTGCCACTGGGCCCAAGCAAGAAGGTGTGGGATCTCCTCTCCAAAGGGAAGCAGCTCCTCAGGAAACTGGGCTCTGGGAAGAAGGAGTGAGGACGCCGTGGCCATCCCGGCAGCAGGAGTGGCTCAGGCCCCAGTGCACTCTCCTGGCTGCAGGGGGGCCCTCTTCCTCCCGAGTTCCCCTTGTGGCACTTGGGTGGGAGGCAGACTCGTTGAAGGTCAGAGCTCGACAAGTCTTCTGGCTGGGTGTCTTCCTCCTCCAGGAGGGGGACCTGAGCCCCAGCGTGGGGAAGCCAATCGGCCACGGTGGCTGAGCCTGAGCGCCTCAGTCAGGGCCTGGCCGTGGACTTGGGACTCCTGGTTCGCCCACCTCCGCCTAGTGTCCACCATGCTGTGCTAGACCTGCCTTGGCCTCCACATGCCTGGGATGGGGACCCTGTGCGAGAGGGGCCTGTTCCTCTGGTGGCGCTGGCCACCCTCATCATGTCTTCCTCCCCTGAAGGAAAGTTTGCACTGGATTCTCCGGCAGGCGGGCGGGCCGTGTGTATATATGTACATACTCAGTGCCTCAGTCCAGCTCCCTCCATCTCGCCTCCACTGCACGGCGCCAGGAGAGGGGAAGGCCCTTGCCCAAGAGGCCTGAACCCGCCCCGTTTCACTCCCCCTCTGCCAGCCACCCTCCTGGCCCGAGACCCAAGACCCGGGGCCAGCAGGCTGAAAGCAGGAATTGGGTTTGCCTTATTTTGCTCATTGGATTCAACTTCTCTTTTGCATCATTTTCCTCTGGCGCCTGTCGGAGTCCGAGGGCTGGGGAAAGGGACAGATTTATGCAGCTATTTTCATACATTCCCTGTTCAGAACGGGGCGGGGGGCTCTCGCCCCTCACCCTAGCCACCCCACCCCACCCTCTGGCTGGGTGAGTGTCTCTCTGCATGTTTCCTTCGCTGTGGTGGGAGATTGTTTGACTGAACCCCCACCCCCACCTTGGTCTCCAGGGGTGTGGAGTGGTGAGGGCATTTGTTTAAACAGACATTTTATTATAATAAAGTCTATTTTCACAACACCCATGCTGGACTCTACCTGGGATGAGGGACTCCTGGAGGGGCTGGGTCATGGTGGGCTTTGACCTTGACTTTAGAACCCAGAAGTTAACAGCTGAGTGTGACTGGGGCAAAACTAATGAACACCAAGAAGACCAAGCAGCTCTGGAATTCTTTTCCTCAAAGAAGGTCTGGCAGCTTCCTGGGCTCCTGGTCGCAGAGCCAGGTCAGGGTCCTGGGGCAAAAGAGGCCTGGGAAGGGGGCGGGGAAGCAGGAAGAGAGCAGGCACCAGTTTCAAGGTAGGGGACTGAACACATACTGCAATCTTGAGTCTCCTGAACCAAATTCTAGTAGATGTAATAAAAACCAACCAAACACACAAACACCACGCATAGTTCCATTCGAGGAAGACTAGAAATGACAGGATTCCAGCAGACAGAGCAGATGGGAGATCGCACTTAGAAACCTCGAAACAGGGCGCGTGAGGGAGAGTTCTGCGTGGAGCTCCGCGCTGAGAGGTGGCACAAACAGCAGAAGGACCACAGGGGCTGCTGACAGCGTGATTAGTTGAGGTTCTACATGAGGAGCCCCAGGTGGATGGCGCACATCCTCCTTCTCTCCATGGGCCAAGGGGCAAAGGTGAGGATGACTGCCTTTAGATGAGAACAGTGGGAATGGCAGCGTGGATCAGAGACCAGACAGCACTTTAGGTGGCTGGCAACACTGGGCAGAAACAAAAAAACACTGCTCAGGTGAGGAGCTATCAAAATGCCGCACGTGGTCCCCTCTTCCCTCTCTCACTGAAACCCTCCAAGCCAGCAGCAGTACCCACCCAACTGTTCTGCAAAGATTCTCAACTACTAAGGCAAAGAGACAAGATGAAACAAACAGGTCAATTTGGGAAGAATTGACATTTGAACAAATGTTGATCCACGAACAAATACATCTCTCCATTTATTTATGTCTTTAATTTCTCTTAGCCATGTTTTGTAGTTTTCAATACAGATCTTGCACATCTTTTGTCAGATTTACTCCTAATTATTTAGTATTTTTGATACTATCATAAATATAAATTTATATTATATTATACATAGTATTGTTACCTTAAATTTCAATTTCTGATTCTTTGTATTTTGGCTTTGTGTATTGCAACCTTACTAAACTCACTTATTCTCATAGCTTTTTTGTAGATTCTTTGAGTGTCTACTTATGTGATCAGGTTGTATATAAAAAAGTAGCTTTACTTCTTCCTTTCAAATTTTGATATTTTAATTTCTTATTCTTGACTCACTGCACTGATAGAACTTTGGTACAATGTTTAATAGAAATCACAGGAGTAGACTCACTTGCTTTGTTCCTGGCCTTAGGGAAAAAGTACTCAGTCTTTCACCAGTATGATATCAGTGATAGGTTTTTGGGTTTTTTTTTTTTGTAGATGCCCTTCGTCAGGTTTGAGGAAGTTCTATTCCTGGTTTGCAGAGAGGTTCTAAAAAAAAAAAAATCAGTAACAGATTTTGATTTTTTTCAAATGACCTTTCTGCATCTAATGAGAAATCATACTGTTTTTTCTGTTTTTCTTTCCTAGTTATGGCAAATTTCATTGATTGATTTTCAAGTGTTCAGCCAACCCTTACTTTTCTGGGATAAATTCCATTTGGTCATGACTTGGGAGGAGGATGAACGCCTATTCCCCAGGATGTGCCCCTTTTATTGAGTGGAGACGTGTGTACAGGGCAAAGGTAAGGGGGTCATGGTGAGGATGGTGGGAGACTCATACGCTGGAGTAGAGAGACTCTGCGGTTACAATCTGGGCTCATCCATTCTTTGTTTCCCACCTGTTCCCAACAGTGGGTCCTCATCCATTGGGAAATCTCCATGTATCTCTGTCAAGACAAGAACTTCCCCTTGGGTCATGATACTCTAGTTCTCAGGGCAGAGGAAAGGACCTGTTATTTCTACTCCCAAACCTCCAAGGTAACATCCCCCCATGCAAACTTCTTCTGGCCTCGAAGAGCTGTTTCCCTGCCTTGCAATCCCTGCAGGACAGGCACTGATCTGATGAGGGCAACACCCTGCAGAGAGGAGGGCACAACTGGGAAGCTCTCCTTAGCCCCACCCTCTGCCCTTCCCTCCTCCCTTCTCAGTCTGTCTTCCCCTCACCATGTCCCAGGCTCTTTCTGTCTCCCTGGGGATTTCCCACAGCTCTTGTTATTTTCTGCTGTCCAACAATTTCACTTCTATGTCTCACTTCTGTGATATCTCCATGGTCAAGTTTGGCTGATGGATCCTGCAGCCCATGTTCATTCTGCTTTGCCTGAAATCAGGGCTAACATCTGTATTTCAGGAACAAGAAGTCTTCTGGTAATGGAGAACTTAACTGCAATACTAGATGCATAAAGATAATGGAGCAGTATTTTCCAAGTGCCAAAGAGCAAGAAATTTGAACTTGAAGTCTATACTTAGTCAAATTATCAGCCACATAACCAAAGCCTCCCACAGAAGAAGC